ACATCGACCCCACCATCTACACTTGGTTCGATGAACCATCACGGTACCCACCTGACTTCGAGCTGCCACCGCTGACACCGGAATCGCCTCCCAGCATTTCGGCGAACATGTACTTCGCTATCTCGCCATACACCGGCGAGAGAGACCGCGTGGTTACGCCGAAGATCGCCAACATCGCGCGACAAACCCGCGAGAACATCAACACCTGGTACCTGGATAGCTGCTGCGGACAACACATGGTGGGATCGCCAACATTCATTAGCAACTCAATACGCATGCGACGACCATGCGAAATAACAGTCGCAAACAATAACGCACTCAAGGCATACGACATCGGAGAAGTCTACCTTGAAGCTGATGACACAAAGTTCACCATTCACATCGGTGATGTGCTCGTCGCTCCAGATCTGCGGTACAACCTGCTCTCCTCGGCTCAACTCATGCGGTGTGGAGTCGACATTCGTAGCAACTGCAAGGACAAGACCTTCGAACTCTTCTACAACAACTCTTACATCGGCAAGGCGGTTGACGATGACGGGGTCTTCGTACTGCAGTTCTCAGCTCAAGGCACTACTGGAGATTCTCACCGCACTCTGCTGCTAAAAACGACTCTTTTCGGAGACGCCGACTTGGTCGCATCCGACGGAAATGGATCTCGAGCGACCTGCCTCGGACGGTCTTCTACGACTGCGCACCGTCCCAACTGCCTCAACCTCCAACCCAGCTGAGACTGGACCTGCATCAATGGAAGAGGACAGTGGCACGTCAGCACCTGCGGAATCTGTCACTCAAGAAAACGAGAAGACTGAAACTAGATCGGGCAGTCCCGGCCCTGCACTCGGCCCCTTGGGTGAAGTCTTGACACCAGAAGAAGCAGCTACAGAAGAACGGGGCACTGTCTCGGCAACAGAAGCAAGCGGCGCCGCTGCAACCGAAGGCGGCTGGGGCGTCGAAGAAGAAGGCTGGGGCACCGGAGGGAAACCGGAGGAGGCTGGGGTGCATCTGCAAGCGAAGGCGGATGGGGGCAGGCGGCCCCCTCCTATCCCGAAGCTCCGGGACTCCCCTCAGCGGAAACCGCGGCGATCGACCCTTACTGGGCAACACGCGGCACCAGCTGGGGCGGACCTCCCCTCCCGGACCAGTACGCCCCTGACACACCAGAACCAATGGAAGAGGAGTCAGAGGAAGAAGATACCTAAGAATTCTACGGAGGAGCAGCAGAATTGCCAGAACCTACCAAGGAGCCACCGCCGCCAGAACAAGGACCACAGCAGATTGAGGTCATCGGTGCCGAGTACAGTTACTTCCGAATTCCCATGAAGGGACTCCCAGTCCGCGACTGGCCCAACCAGTGCCTGCTTGTAACCGGAGACCAAGTCGACGCCGACGACACCGACGACATCATCGGGATCCCACACGCGCTTCTGGAACGGAGGTCAATTCAAGCCTTCGCCGCCGAAACCAACGACGCCGCCGATGCAGGACCTGGAAAGGAGGCAAACGACGAAGCAGCAAGAAAAATATATTATCAGAAAACGGTCGGCTACCGTGCGGAACCCGGGATTTGGCATCAACGGCTCGGCCACCCTTCTCACGCAACTCTCAAGAATTCACTCCGGCCTGGCGTCTTCGACGACGGAGCATTACTCCTACCACGCGAAGGCTCCCTCACAACAGACTCGGAGGACACGCCATGCACAGTATGCCCTACTGCGTCACTCGCCCACAAGCCCTTTCCCGACCTACCGCCCGGCTACGAACGCTACAAGCCACTCGACAAGGTTTACAGCGATTTTATGAATTTAAGCCAGGATGGGCTCGACGGCGAATCCTACACACTTACCTTCATCGACGCAAGCACTCGCTATGTCTGGGCTGTCAATACTGACTGCAGGTCACTCGCCTTCGAGTGCTTCATCGCGTGGATGAAGCGGGCCGAACGACAATCGGGACTGAAGCTAAAAGCTGGCAGACGGACGGAGCCATGGAGTTCTTCTCAGACGAGTTCAAGGAGCTCTTCAGGAAGAAAGGGATTGAACACCTGGTGTCCCTGCCCTACGCTCACGAACAGCAAGGAGTAGCAGAACGGACAAACAGGAGCCTCGCCACCAGGATGAGAGCCCTGATGAAGCAGTCGGCCATCCCAACCCGGTACTGGCCGTTCGCCATGAACCATGCAGTTCGGCTGCACAGCTTGCTGTCCTCCCGAAGCCTCGAGAACAACAAGTCTCCCTACAGGGCCTGGACGGGCAGAAAAGCAGATACGCGTCTGCTTCGGGTGTTCGGCTGCATGGTACAGTACAGGCCACACACAGCAAGGACCGGAAAGTTCGCTGACCGGGCTCGCTGGGGCATCCACCTGGGGATCGAAAAGGAATACAAGGCGTGGATCGTGCTGGACTACGCGACACACGAAGTGACGAAATCACGTGACTGCATCTTCTACGAGAAGCTGACCCTGCCACTGTTCAACGAACACCACGAAGCTGACAGGGCACCGGAAAGGGTTTTTGAGGGACACTGCAGCTTCGCAACTCCACACGATGAAGCTGACCTGGCGGAAGATGTGGATGCAGCAAATGTTACACAGTTTGACAGCGCACCCAACATCCCCCTTACAAGCCCGCTCCAGACTCCAACCTTCATCCCTGTACACCACTTCGATCCCGCCGATACAACTCGCGAAGCTTACAACTTCAACAGCACCGCCCGCGAATCCCCGGATGCCGCGTTACCACCGCCAAACACTTCGCAAGACTCCCTCCGCGCTGGCAACGACAGTGACGACGATGTGGTCGAAGTAACCAGCTTCTCCGCATCCTTGGGCTCGCAGTCGCCGTTCGCCACAACTCCCCCAAGGAGCCCACCACCGTTCGCCAAGCTTTCTCCGGCCCCGACAGTGAGAAATGGAAGGCAGCCATGGCCAAGGAGATCGCGTCGCTCAAAAGCCGTGGCACATGGAAGCTGGTTCCCCGGACATCTGCGAAGGGGAGAAAAATTCTCAACGGAAAATGGGTTTTCCGCATAAAGACACTGGCGGATGGCTCCATCGACAAATACAAAGCGGATGGGTGGTGCGCGGCTTCGAGCAAACTCACATGGTGGATTTCGATCTCACCTACGCACCAGTCGGGCGGCACACTTCAGTGCGGATCCTCATCTGCATTGCAGCCGTCAAACAGCGCCCACTTCGTCAAATTGACGTCGGCAGCGCATTCTTGTATGATCCGGTCGACGCAATCATCTTCGTCGAGCAGCCGCATGCCTTCGAAGAGAACGACGGCACCATCTGCCTGCTCCAGAAATCCCTCTATGGAATTAAGCAAGCACCTCGCCTGTGGCAGCAATGCCTGCACACCGTGCTCACGCAGCTCGGCTTCCAACAGCTGCCACATGACCTCGGCATGTACAGGAAGGAGTCGCGCGGCAAATTCATCCTCCTTGTTGCCTACGTCGACGACCTCCTCTACACCGGTGACGACACGGAGCTGTTGGACCAGTTCGAAGCAGATATCAAGGAGAAGCTGGAGTCACGGTCAACCACGACGTTACGCAATTCCTGGGTCTCAACATCACCCAGTCCGCCTCCTCCATTCACCTCTCCGCCGCCAAATATGCCGAAACACTCGCGAAGAAATTCGGCATCGCGCCCATCAACCTCACTACCCCTTTTCGCACTCCTCCTCCTAACCACGAACCAGACACCACGCCCCTCTCTCTCGAGCATCATCGGCTCTATCAGCAGCAGCTGGGGTGCCTCCTGTTCGCCGCCGCCACGTGCCGGCCTGATCTCTCCTACGTCGCAAGCCAGCTCGCTCAGTACATGAAGCGACCTGAAGGGGAGAATCTACTGGATCTACGCCGAGCACTTCAATACTTCGTCTCTACTCCCGACGTTGGCCTCACCTACGAAGCTAACTTAACGGCTACCCTGCAACCGCATGGCTACGTAGATGCAGACCATGCGGGAGATGTTGACAACAGACGCTCCCGCACAGGATTCATCTTTCAACTCCAACGTGCTGGACTCATCTCATGGAACTCTCAGAAGCAGGAACTCATCGCCCTTTTGTCAGACGAAGCCGAATTCATCGCCGCCAGCGCAGCTGTTCGCGAAGGATTGTACCTGATGGAGCTCCTGCAGGAAGCGAAAGTGACGATGAACGGGCACTTCACGTTACTCTGCGACAACCAGAGCGCGATCAAGATCGCGAACAAGCCCGGCTTCGTGAACCACACGAAACACATCGCCCTTCGCTACTTTTTCGTCAAAGATGAAATCGACAAGGGCAAGGTCAAGCTTACGTACTGCCCAACTGGTGACATGGCAGCCGACTTTCTGACAAAGAAACTGCCATGTCAACAGTTCCAGCACTGCGCCAACCTCTGTGGGATCACCAAGAAGTCCCACGTGGCTCACCTTCAGGAATGAAGGGGAGTGTTGGAATAACCGAAAGGTTATCATAAACATTCCCGAAGGTTCTCCACTCTCGCGTCACTTCATAACGAAGTAAACGCCTGTATCAGTACCGCAATAGCTCATATAGAGCACGCGGAAGGTCGAGGGTCACCCGAAGGTCAACAGTCGGTCGTGACCCTTGACCGTCCAGTAACCGCACAAGACAGTTACGAAGTGCAACGTGGTAACTGTCTAGAATGGCAATAGTCGTGGTTACTGTAGCAATGCAATTCAGTTAATAAGGGAATGTACCCCTCAGAGTACATGGCTAGCTAGGTTTGGTATTTATACTCGTGTACTCTAACCTTATAATCATCTTGTTCTCCCTCAATGTATTAACAAGGTCACTACAGAGACTTCATAGTTCTCTCAATATACTTGGCAGCTTTATCCTATCCACTACGATCCTTCAGTTATAACATCATTTTGGAAGTTCAAGAGACTTCAGAGCCTTTTGTGATTGGATGGCATGCGTGTTAGTTACTATGGTCAGTTATTGGGCATGTTTTAACATGAGCATTGAGCATTCTGCTCTGCTAAGCTACACAGGGTTGTAGTGAGAACACAGGGAGTAGTTTGAGAACAGAACTAAAATCCTGAACCCCGTCCGCTGAAGGGGGATGCTGGGTGGAGGGAAGGAGGGGGGCATTGACTTGATCGATTGCGGTGAGAAGAGGGAGAGAGTGAGGACTCAACAGAGGGAGTGATAGTGAGTGAGAGTGAGAGAGAGAGAGAGAGAGAGAGAGAGAGAGAGTGAGAGAGAGAGAGAGAGAGAGAGAGAGAGAGAGAGAGAGAGAGAGAGAGAGAGAGAGATGGCTGAGACACCATTGCTCCAAGACCTCTGTATTCTCATCTGCCTGGCGTTCATCCTTATCCTCCCTCATTCCATCTCTACTGACATGCAGTCAACGCCACCTCTCCACCATGTTACACACACCACAGCGTGCGTGCATCCTCCCTGCATGCACACCCCATCCATTTAGCCCCACCTCCCCCGTCTCATCCTCCCTCCTCTCTGTGCCTCCACTCCTCGTGTCCCGGACACCTCCCTCGCCGTCCCCCCCCCATGGCGTCTGTCTACCTGGGAGTCACTTCAGACTGCTCTGTGTGCGGCAGTGTGGGCGCGGCCAGCACACCCGAGTCATAGTACCCCGTCGCAAACCCTGCTGCACCGGATGTCGCAGGCAGCCGTGCCACAGCGCCTGTACCTGGCGGGGCAGCAGCAGCACGGGGCGAGAGAGGGGCTCGGGCGGAAGCATATGCACTGGGCTGCATAGCAACAGGGGTGCCTGCAGCAGTTCCAGTGGCTCGAGTCCTTCTCTGCTGCCCTGCAGCCGCAGCAGCAGCAGCTGCCGCCGCCGCCGCCTCTGCTTCTGTGGCAACATTCGTTGCCGAAGCAGACATGTTTCCCATACCGTAAGCACCAGCGCTACCAACAGCAGCACCGGAACCGCCCTCAGAGGCATACCCAGTGGCTTGCGCTGACTCCTGCACGCTGCATCCTCCCCCTGTCCGCCCCGGTAGGGACGCCCTGCCCTCATCGCCCTCACTTAAAGCGGGCAGAGGACGATGCACTCCTGAGCTACTACCGCCAACAGCAGCAGCAGCCGCGGCAGCCGAGCCTTCTGATGGCTGCACATCCGACCAGGCACTGTCCTCATCACCCCTCTTCACCGCACTCCACTCCACACTCGCCTCGTAGCTCTCCTCCGGTACGCTACTCGCCGCCACGGAAGTCTCGACCGCCGACTGCTCTCTTCCCTGCGCGCTCTCCGTGCTGCCCCCCTCACCGCTCTCCTCCAGCAGCCACGGCGCGCGCCACAGCTTCTCCGCAGCGAACCCCGACCCCTCCGACCCCTCCCCCTCCTCGCTCACCTCCCCGCGCGACGCCGCCAGCGCTGCACGCTCCTGCTGCGCCACCTGCTCGCGCAGGTCCACCAGCCAGCGCACGACGGCGGACATGTCGGGGCGCGCCTTGGAGGACGCGCGGATGCACTGCAGCGCGACCTGCAGCACCTTGAGCAGCACGGCGCGGTCGTAGTCGCCGCCCAGGTTGGGGTCCGCCACGCGCTCCACCATCTTCGCCTGCACCAGCGGGCCCACCCACGCCGAGATGTGCACGGGTCCCGACTGCCACTCCGCGCCCTCCGACCCCGCCGGCGACCCGCCGCCCGCAACCCCGCGTGAGTCGCTCCGGCGGCTCTCGGGGGTGCGACTGCCCTCCCCCGGCCTGCTTCCGCCCTCCGACTGGCCTGGCGCCGCGCCTCCGCTCCCCGCGGACCCCGCGCCGAGGGACATGAGGCTGGAGGGCGCGATGATGGCGCGCTGGCCCGTGAAGAGCACGAGCAGCAGCACGCCGAAGCTGTACACGTCGCCCTTGACCGTCACCTTGGCGGTGCAGTGGTACTCGGGGTCCAGGTACCCCGGCGTGCCCGCCACGCGCGTGTACAGCGACTCCATCTCGCCCGTCACCGCGCCCTCCTTGCCCTCGAGAATGAATTTCAGCAGGCCGAAGTCCGCGACCTTGGCGCGCATGCGCGCGTCCAGCAGGATGTTGTCGGGCTTGATGTCGCGGTGGATCACGGGCGGCACGGCCGCCGTGTGCAGGTACTGCAGCCCCTCCGCCGTGCCCACCGCGATGTTCAGCCGATCCTTGAACGTCAGGTACGGAGGGCCCTTGCGCGCGAGCGCGGTGGAGAGCGTGCCGGCCGGGACGTACTCGTAGACGAGGATGTGCTCCGCGTCCTCCACGCAGTACCCCAGCAGCCGCACCAGGTTCTTGTGCGACAGCCGCGAGATCGTCATCACCTCCTTCTCGAAGTCGCCCGCGCCCGAAGACCCGGGTGGCAGAGCCGTCTTGGACCGCTTCACGGCCCACTGCGCGCCCGACTGCCCCACGCCGCGGTACACCGTCGCGAACGCGCCCTCGCCCAAGAAGTTGCCGCGGCTGAAGCCCCACGTGGCGGCGCGGATCTCGTCCAGCGAGTACTTGCGGAACAGCCCGTCCCGCAGGTCCTCCTCCCACTTAGCCAGCGGCTTCCCCGCCGCCGCCCTCGCCGCCACCCCTGCCGCCGCGCCCGCGCCCGCGACCGCGACTGCGCCTGGTGCCCCGGGTCGCGGCGGCCCCCCAACCGCTGCCGCTGGCGGAAGAAGCTCGCGCGGGGGGGGCTGCGGTGAATACGGCAGCTGCGGTTGCTGGCCGGGTGAGCCGGCGGGAGGCAAGGCGGAACCGTTGCGGTGGTACGCTAGGGCGGGCTTGTGGTGCGGCGATGCTTGCGACGCGGGGACTCGGCCCCGCGCCTCCTCGTCATTCAGGCGCCGCGGCTTCTTGGGGGCTCGATAGAGGCAGCAGCAGCAGTAAATCATTATAGCGAGGACGACGGCGACTATAGCGAGGACGCCGCATCCGATGCCGATGATGGCGATGAGTGGCAGTTCCCATGAGAACACCTGAACCATGTGCGCGCGATGCGCCGCGAGGTGCTACAGGGAATATGGAGGACGGTTGGCGGAGAGAGCGGACGTGAGAATATGGCAGCGAGAGAAATTAAGTACAGAACGAGGGTGAGGAAGAGCAGTTATCGATTTGCCTGCAATGGCCTCGCGCCTTGTCGAGGAAAAAAGAACCCGACCAGCAGCGCTACGGGTGTATAGGGTAGAGCAGATGGGAAGACAATGTCACTCTAGCGTGCAACTAAAGCCACTGGAGCGAACGGATTGATTCGCGGCAGCTGAAAAAGCTCCATAGCGCCGTCCGGGTGCAGAGGCGGCGATTAGCGTAGCTATGGCACAGGCGGGACGAGTGAGAGAAGACAAGGCGAATTGGTGAAAGCCAACGCGGTCAGGCTGATCCTCGGCTCGAGCTATCACTTGGTGCTTCTAAATGATAGCAGCTACGGTCGACTCAATGAAGGAAACAGGTATGGCTGTCTTCTTTTGTGGCTACTAAAACAGTCCTAGAATGGATTTGACGTGGACCTGTCGAGGTGGAAGTGGAGGGGAAAGAAGCCAGAAAATGCATAAATGACGAGGGGATGATGGGAGGGATACGCGCCTCCTGGTTTTCACAAGGGAGTGGGGTGCGAACACAAGCAGACGGACGGGCAGGTTAGCCATCCGCGAGGCCTCTTTCAAAGCGCGTTGTTGAACGGACCCAAGTGAATGCTCGGACTCTCCGGATAATTCCAGCCGTCCACGTACTTGACTCTTACAGTCAGGTGACGGCTATCGGTCACTGCATGGGCAGGTAGCTGACGGGGTCGGGCAAAGCTGTTGGGGGTGGCAGTCACCCCCAACAGTTCGGTCAGGAATGTGATGCTCTTGTTGCCCAAGGTGCGGCGCGGGAGCAGTGAGGGAGAATGAGGGGAAGGGATGGAAAGAAGCGAACTGGGACTGGCGAGAATCGGTCAAATAATTGTGGGGCTCTTTCCGTCGGTCGGAGGAAGTTGCAGCGAAGAAGGGTCCGAAAACAACGATTGGCTGTGCTATCGCGTTAACAGAGATTCTTCGTTACACGGCAGCAGTGTATTATTGATGTCTTGTTTACCATTAAATATGAAAATATATTTTGCGAATAAAAAACACCCTCCGTGTTATGATAAGGGTTTCAAGTTTAGCGTGGCATTCCATAAAATTTCCCCAAGTCCTCATTCTGAAAAGAATGACTCCATTTGTGGCATTCCTTGTGGGCCCGCCTTTTAACGTGTTGAATTTTCATTTTTCATATTTTTTCTAAAGGTCCAACTACACTAAACTTACATTCTAAACATCACAACGCCAGGGTTGAATCCCACCTATTGTGCCTAGAAGCCTGCTTATCGTCACCAGCTACATAATCTTCATTTATAGCTGCAGCTTCGTCATCCTTCTCGTCGCCAGTCACATAAATGTAAATTAATCAACTTTACAATGCCTCCTACATTTGTCGACAAACATATTTATATGTTTGTATGTGTACTCCATGTGCTAACTAGTGTTGCACCATAGAGGGTATGGAACCAGGCCTATTCTTATCGGTATTTGTTTGTCAAATGCTATATTAGCTCTTATGCGATGGTATCATTGAGTTAGCTTTCCTAGGACCCTAGCTTAGCTCGTCGCCCAACTTAGCTTCGTTCGCCCGGCATCCTAGCTGCCCGTCTCGTCCCGTCCCGCTGCCCGTCCCGTCCCGTCCCGCTGCCCGCTCGCACCCTGCCCTGTCCCGCACACAGCAGCCCGCACGCACTGCAAGCATTCAGCCGCGCACTCGCAACCGCGCACATGCAGCCACGCACGCGCAGCCGTGTACAGCCGTGCACGCGCAGCAGCACGCCCGCAGCTGCGCACGCGCGGCATGACGCACACAGCTGCACACACAGCCAGATGCACGCAGCCGCGCACGCAAATGCGCATGCATACGTGCAGCCGCGCGCACGCATACGCGCAACCGCGTGCACAGCCGCACACGCGAAGCTGCATGCGCACCAGTAGCCGCGCGCACAGCACCAGCCGCACACGCAGCAGCAACAGCAGCAGCAGCAGCAGTAGCACGCACAGCACCAGCCGCACGTGCAGCACCTACCAAGCCTGCAGCTGCAGTTGTACGCGCCTGTGCCCTTATACGCACAGTAACGCACGCGCAACAGGAGTCGTACACGCACCTGCAGCCGCGCGCACGTTGACAGTCGCACATGCAACGACAGCAGCACCCCCCCTCCCAAGCGTGCCTGGTGTCTACCACACGCCTCCTACCATAGGCATTCCTAGCAGCGGCTGGCAGCCGCTGACGACTCTCCTCGCGCAGTTTAGGGTTTAGGCCTCGTGGTGACTGACGTCTCTAGCTAGCCTTTCTGGCTCTGTTCGATCCTAGCCCCGGCCATTACTAGACTAGCCTTTCTGGCTTCGTTCGCTTCTAGCTCCGGCCTTTCCTAGTCCAAAAGAGCACTCGCCATGGCGTCCACTCGAGTCCCGCGTTTCGATGCGGTGGGTAGATTGCTAAATTTTCTCACCTGGCTCATTCGCGCCGAGCTGTACCTCCAAAGTCAGCGCCAGGATGGTGATACGCTCTGGGCGCACGCCTCTGATGACCTGCCTGCGCGCCGTGCTGACCTGCCTGCTTAGCGTACTGACGCAGACTGGGAGCACTTTGCTCAGACCCGTACAACTCTGTCTGTGTGGCAGTCTCGTGACGCTGCGGCTCGTATTGCTCTCAATAGCCTTCTCCCAGAGACTAAGCAAGCCCACTTCAGCCAGGTTCAGTATGCCAAGGATTGTTTTGATGCAATTAAGTCCTTTTACTCCACTCCCACTTCCGCCTCTCTTGGTCGCCTCTTCTTGTCGTTTTTGTTTCCCGACCTAGGAGCGTTTGACTGTACAGCTAACCTTGTCACCAACCTATGCTCGCTCGACGCTAGCTACCGTGCTGCTTGTCACAACGCCGAGAGCCGGCCCCCCGCCCATGCACATCACACTTCAAATTCATAGTCACTAGCGTCTCTGACCGCCTTGCACCTGTATGTGATGCACTTCTTTAGCAGCACCCTAGTGCGCCCACCATCGAGGACTTTGAGACAGCTCTTTGAGGGGTGTACATTCCGTTGCATCTGCTGCAGCCGTAGTTCCCCCGCTCTTTGAGGGGTGTACAATCACACAACTCCCCACATTCACTGCTTCTTTTGCCTCTACTGTGTCTCCTGCTTCTGACGAGACTGCAGCCGTTTCCACCACTAGTGGGCGGACCAGAAGCGGGGGAGGTAAGGAACGGGGGAAGGGTGGTGGTGGCAGTGGTGGTGGAGTGGTTGGCGCAGGTAGTGGCGGTACTGGAGGTGGTAATGGGCCTGCGGGCCCGACGGGAGGGGGGTGCGTGACCAGTTGGTTGGTACACAGCGCAGCAGCGGCAGCAGTCCCAGCAGCAGCGGCATCAGTCCCAGCAGCAGCGGCAAGAGTCCTAGCAGCAGCGGCAGCCGCGACAAAGACAGCAGCATCAGCCGCAGCGGGGACAGCAGCAGCAGCAGGGACTGCCGCAGCAGCAGGTTCAGCGGCAGGTGCAACGGCAGTCTCAACAGTGGGGACCTGGTGGACCAGGGAGCGCTGGACATGGCGGTGGCCCACCCAGCTGGACGTCAAGTGGCGTCCCCGTACTCCCTGCCCGTACCTTGTTCAGATTGGCACTCATCAGGGTGGGCCATGTAGCCGCCTTCGCCCTTTGGGTCAATGTTTGCGGAGCTCATGGACCCCTCCGAACGCATTATGACTTTGGCCCCGCTCCGGACCGGGCCCAGCTAGCTCGCTCCCTTGGTCTGGCGTTGTTTGACATGTTTGCAATATAGTTGCTTGATGCCTTGCGATCTGTTTCTGTGACGTATGCCGATGTTGACTATAGTGCTGCTAGATCTGTTTGCTCGCGTGTTCGTAGCCCAAGATCCTTGCCTGTTGCTAGTGTAGGTGCTTGTGCTTCTAGTCTAGGTGCTTGTGCAGTACTAGCCCAAATGTGTACCCGCAGCTGACGTGTCGCTCTCCTTCAGTCTGGAGTCTGGTGCATCCCAACGCTTTTTCCGCGACCATACGACTGTTCCAGTTCCGGTTCCGGTTGCACTAGCTAATCCTACTTTAGGACCAGCAGTTGCTTGTAGCTCTACCACCCTCCCGTGCTTGGCTGCCCCCTCCGGTGTCCTCTCTGGTCTCCACATCCCCTCGTTCTCCAGGAACTTGGTGGGTGTGGGACCCTTTCAGGACCTCGGTGTTGGCACATGGTTTCTGCCGCACGTGCGTGTCACAACCTGCAAAGACGGTACCACTGGGGCTATACTGGCCACGTTTCGCCACGAGCCCCACTCAGGTCTCTACACACTATACACCATGTCTCCCCAGATAGCTGCGTCTGGTCAGGTAGTTGCGCATGGTCAGGTTGCTTCGTCGTGCTCCTGTCGGTCGCTCTCCCACCCGAAAGTCCAGTGGCACCACCGTCTTGGTCACCCGTCGCTCCCACGCCTCCGTAAGATGTCTAGCCAGCGTCTTGCCTCAGAACTCCCGTGCGTGTTTGCGTCGCTCCCTCCTTTACCTGCACCGCCATGCACTCCTTGCGTCAAGGGTAGGCTAAGCGCCACTCCTCACTCCTCCTCCCTTTGCCCGACCACCGCCCCCTTCCAGACTCTCCACTTGGCCATCTGGGGCCCCGCCCCCTCGCCCTGGGCCTTGGGGGGAAAGCTTCTTCCTGGTGGTCGTTGATGATTTCTCTCGCTACACCACGGTGTCCCCCCTATGGAAAACTTCCGACATGACTTCTACCATGGTCCCGTGGTTGCTCGCCACTAGCGCTACACGTGGTAGTCGTGTCCTTTGCCTCCACTCCAACCGTGGGGGTGAGTTTCGTTCCGGCGTGCTTGCTGGGTTCTGTCGGGAGCAGGGCTTCACTCAGTCCTCGACGCTTTCGGAGTTTCCACAGCAGAATAGGGTTGCCGAGCGCCACATTGGCTTGGTCA